GAACGTTGTAACATTCATTTAAAATTTTATTCCTACAGACTTTTAATGGTCTACAAGTATGTTTTAATAAAGATGACAAAATATGATTGGAACTGTTTTTAAAGTAAGGGTCTGTAAATGAAAAGAAAGAGATAGTCACTCTTTCAGGGTCTGTCTGTGGATTTTTGCCTCCAGTGGATTCTGAAGTAGAGGATCTCTGATGTCTCATAATTATTTAATCATAGAGAAATACCTGACTGTGACAGGTGGGATCTACTTTATAGCCAACATCTTTAATGATTGATGTATTTGTCCATCTGTTAGGAACATTAGTCAAAAATTTAATAGCTGACATATTTATTAAAAGTAGAATTATAGCAGATCAGATACTGAGCACATAATGTATGAATTTTTATAAATGTGTTTTATATAGGATCCATGGTGAAGATGCTTATGAAATACTTATTACAGGTATATTTTACAAATTCAAAGGAGTTTTATTTAAAAAATTTAGTGTTAGATAAACTTTAAATTTTCTAACATGCTAATAATTTTTATTACATAGGCATATTAATAAATTTCTGTCTTCAAAAGTTTAATATTTGAGGCCACACTAAAGCTTTTAATGCAAGCATCATGCTGAAGCCTTCTCATTCTAATATTGGCAGAAAGAAAGACAGCTGCCTCTTCCATGGGGCTTATTGTGGGGGAGGCTCACTTTATATGACTTCACCGTGAGATAAGTGCTATTGAGTAATGCTTAGGGTGCTAATATTGAGTAGCAATTAGTGGGGCTCTTTTTAGAGAAGTTCAATAAGAGGCAGAAGAAGGGGAAGTGGGGATAGAGGGCGTACTTGTATTCTAGGCTTCTTGAAGGAAGAACAGGCTTGAACATTCCAACACAGTATAGAGTTTGGTGTGTTATAGAATGGAGAGGCCACTAAACGTAGGGGAGAGAAGTAAAAGATAAGATTGAAAAGGAAAAGCAGCACCAACTTAGGTACCCCTTTGTAGACCATGGAGAAAAATTTGGCTAGTTAATGCAAATATGGGTCTTTTAAACAATTATTCATACTTAATGGATTATATGTATAAATCCATTTTTTTGCTTCTAGATTCTTTCTACTTAATATACTATAGACATCACAGAGATTAGAAAGCTATATTTAATACTTTAGTTGCTTTTCTTCATTGTACAGAGACTTAAGAGATCCACAGTGAGCACTGAAATGCTACTTTTGAGCAAATTATTACTTTTTATAAAGTTTGTAAGGACTTAGGTTAACAAAATTTGAATTCTGGGGAAGTTGAGAAGGTCTCACTTCCCCCCTCTTTAATCCTAGGAAACATTGTATATTTTTTTAAAAAATGAGAATGGGAATGACAATCTCAATATAATTGAATACAAGCTAGAAATAATGAGACAATTGAAAAGAGAGCTAAGTAGGGATAAATAAATTAAGGGATTAAGAATTAGAAAACTTGGCAAAAGTATCAACACTGTTTTTTTGGATACTTCTGTATTTTGTATTACTAGATTTTTAAACAAATCAATGTTGCTTTATGTAATAGAAATCATTAGAATCAAAATTATCTTAAAAAGGTCCAATTTTTAGCCAGATGGTAGTAAACATATGAAAGATAGAAATTTTTATTTTGTTTATTTTTATAATACTGTTTATTTGGTTTGTTTTTAAAGTAAGTAATTGAAACTCCTGCTATGCTAAAACCACAAATAAGTGTGTATTACTCATATAATGTAACTGAGTAAAACATAGTTTGGTCCCACAGGTGAGTGCAATTAAGGTAAGCAAAGAGAAGAAATCAGGCCATATTCCATGAAAAACCAATAAATATTTCACAATATGTCAATAGGGTACTGCAATATCCTTAATTAGAAATAATTTCTACCTAAATTATATGTCCTTGGCACTAGTATTTGATTAATGCCTGATTTAGGAGGTTCCAATCTTTATTTAATACCACACTGTCTACTGCTGAACTATAGTAATACTTAGTATCAGTGAGAAATGACAGGGGCTAAAGAGGTGAAATCCTATAGATTACATATCTACAGAGAACATTTGACACACTTTGTGCATGTCTTTAAGTAGTTGCTCACAATTAGAGTTCGCTCAAATTAATAATATGTTTTCATTGGTTAATCTTAGATCATACTATATGTCCAAAGCTGTATTTTGAGGGAGCAGATCTTTACTGTGATTATTATATGTTTCAACTATTAAGAAAAATCCCAGTATATGGTTTCTGAACTGAAAAGCTAAGAATATTTCTTTTTTATTTGTTTATTGAATGACTATTATTTTTTAATTAAAAATGGGGTCTCACCATGTTGTCCAGGCTGGTCTTGAACTCCTGGGCTCAGGCTGTCTTCCCACCTCAGCCTCCCAAAGTGCTGGCATTACAGATGTGAGCCACCATGCCCAGCCCTGAAAAGCTAAGGCTATTTAGAGACTTTCAAGTATTACTATTCTTAAAGTTGAACTAGATTAATTTTTAGACAGACATCTAATATTTGGCATGACTTATTAGCATTTAGTCAGTCTGAGGCTAATTTCATAGACACCCCTGCCTTTGTGAAGGGAAAATTGTGGATTTGGGATGTTAATGATATACTACATTTATATATATATGATTATATATATATGACGTATTACTACATATAATAATATATATATAATTTGTATACATAATTCAATATCTACTTTATGCAAAGCATATGAATACTATATCTTTTTAAAGACCTATATCTGATTAATTGATTCACTTAACACATATTTACTAAACTTACAGTAGTCCCTCCTTATCCACAGTTTATCTTCCCATAGTCTCAGTTACCAATTGTCAACAGTAGTTTGAAAATGTTACAGTAGTTTGAAAGAAAGAGAAATACTAAATTTACATAACTTTTATTAGAGTATGTTATAATTATTCTATTATCGATGTATCTATATTTACTATGATTGTTGATCTCTTACTGTGCCTAATTTATAAAGTACACTTTATCATAGGTATGAATGTATGTATAAGTTTTGGTACGATCCATAGTTTCAGGCATCCACTGGCAGTCTGGACATATCCCCCACAGATAAGGGGGGATTACTGTATACTATGTGCTTGGGATGTATCAATGAGCAAAACAGTTTCATGACATCCTGGAGGTAGTATTTCAACCCTACAAATGAGGCTAAGATGTTTATTGCAGCATTATTCACAATAGCCAAGATTTGTAAGCAACCTAAGTGTCCATCAACAGATGAATGGATAAAGAAAATGGTGGACACATACACAATGGAGTACTATTCAGTCATAAAAAGAATGAGATCCAGTCATTTACAACAACATGGATGGAACTGGAGGTTATTATGCTAAGTGAAATAAGGCAAGCACAGAAAGACAATCTTTGTATGTTCTCACTTTATTTGTGGGAGCTAAAAATTAAAACCATTGAACTTGCAGAGATAGAAAGTAGAAGGATGGATGCCAGAGACAGGGAAGGGTAGTGGGGAGAGTGGGGAGGGAGTGGGGATGGTTAATGGGTACAAAAACAAAAGATGAATGAATAAAATCTAACATTTGATAGCACAACAAAAAGACTATACTTACTAGTAATTTAATTGTACATTTTAAAATAACTGAGAGTGGATTGTTTGTAACATAAAGAATCTGTGTTTGAGGTGATAGCTACCTATTTACCCTGATGTAATTATTATGCATTGTATGCCTGTATCTAAATATGTAATGCACCCCATAAATATAATATATGCATGTGATATTTAGCCATACAAATTATTTTTTTTAAAAAAAAGGATTATAGAAAATAGAAAAAAATGAGTTAGGAATATATAATTTGGGTTTACCAATATTCTATGAAGTATGAAATGATTTAATTGCTGATACTAAGTTTTATACAAATTACTATATGCACTATAAATTGTATACAAATACTTGTAAAAAAGTTGAAGGTGAGGTCCGCAAATATTTAGATTATCTTTTTATTTCCTGAATGTACTATAGGTAATTTATGTTTTCTTATATTTTAATTTTTCAAGTTACCAGACATTTTGCAAACACTTACATGGCAATCTACACTTTTAAAAGCTTGGAATACTTTCCTTTTCTGATTGTTCTAATTTCTACTGTAGGTGTTAAAATTTGAATTTCAGACATACCTTACACAAATATATACAAAGTTTAGGCCATACCAGGAAGCAGACACTTTAAAGGGTATTACATGTTTGAAAAACAGGCTTATGTTTGGTTTTGTTTTATTTTTGGTTTGGATTTTTAATTTCCTATTTCTTATTTGTACTTTATTAAAATGGATTTATTTATTCGATGTCTCCAAGATTTGATTTCCTTAACTTTTCAAACAACTGTGTGTTTGCTCATTAGTAAAAATTGAGTGATATACAGTGTTTGCATTTTAATATTTAATTGTTGGATGAATTTCACTTCAAGGGGTAAAGGCTATAGTTCATTGATAGTGATGAAATAACCTAGATGGCTTTCATATAAATAGCAACGAATGTGCACAATAGTTACATTACATGGTATAATTAACAACACTGCTAAAGAGTAAGATGGGAGTTCAGTCTTTCCTGATGGAGATACACCTGAGTGCACTCAGAGAAAATTTGGTTCTGCAAGCTTGAAGGAAGTAATTGTTATTCAACAGAAATCAACTAACTTTGCATATCAGTAAAATACACACACATACTCTTAGCTATTTTCTGAGTGCTCTGAAACTGATATCAAAATAGCAAATATATATTTATGAGAAGTAGAAATGCTGTATTCTTTTCAGTCACATAAATTCAATGTAATTATGAAATTAACTTTGAGAAGGTGTGGAAAATGTTACTTCCTAACCAAGTAAAGATCTAATAAAATCTGTACTAATAAAATCTACAGATTTTATATCAAGTTACATCATTTTACATGCACATTTGTACCCCAAATGCCATATAATTAATTATTTTTTTACTGTTCCTTTCTAGATGGAAGACTGTATTTGAAAACTACTGTCATGTACTGAATCTTTCCTGTTGAAGAAATCCATGTTAGAGAAAAGAACTTTACCATCAGACATTCATCATGGGAAAGTTCAGACAAAATAAAGTCCTTTTAAGGGAACTTTCTGAATTTTGTGTATTAATGTTCTTTAAAAGTTTAAGTATTCTACAAAAAAAAAAGTTTCCTCCATTGATTTTCACCTGTGGTTCATACCAGAGACCTGAGAATGTTTGTAAATGTACAAGTATCAAACTTCTTACAGTTAATAACTGCAACTTGCTGCTGGACAATTGTATACAGAGTTAAAGGCAGGTCCGAATAAGACCTATCTTTGTTTTTTTCTAATGGAATGAACCATTTCCTCTTCTGAAAATTCTGTATCTGAGCACATCAAGAGACTCTTGTAGCAGTGGTTACCCAGACTTACAGAATTATTTCCCCCAGAAACCAGCAAGAACACTTGGAATGAACTGGTAGGGGGCATAGAGGATTCTTGAAAACAGAATAAAGAGTGATATTCTGTTACATTCAATTTCAAACTCTCTAATTGTAGGTTTTCTCCTGAAGATTTTTTTTTTTTACACACTTTCCAAAAGACCAACAAATGGATATTGACAACAACCCAATGAAATAATGTTTTGCATATCTGAAAAGAAGCATTGAATATAAGCCAAAAGGTTTTGCTGAAGGTCTTTTTTTCTTAAAGTAAAAAGCATATATAAATGTAACATGTTTTCATTCCAAACTGGTAGTGGTATATAGAAGTAAAGATATTAATGTTGCTTCTTATTCAAACCATTGGTCATATGTACAGTATATAAACATAAAACACACAAGGAAGGTATTATGTATGCAGTAGTATACTAGAGTTTAGGAAAATGAAAATTTTAGAAAATATGTTTTGTCACCCTGTTGGTCAGAAAGACGTCTTTCTGGTTTTAACGCATGCAGGCATGTAAATATTTGTCTGGAGTCACAGTATTAATGAATGAAATCTTAAGCATCTGGTGACATCAAAACTCTGTGTCAGCCACTTTTATTTGTATATTGAACCCTAGTTAGTGCCCCAAGCTGCACTATTGGGTGGATTGTGGCTGAACGCAAATCAAAACACCAGAAATATTTTTATATGTTAATGTCATATTATGTTAATGTTGCTGAAAACAAAACCTAACAAACCTTGATGTACCAGTCCAATACCATGTAGCGCTGAGTGATAAAGTTAAAATGTGCTGTGCTTCCCACCCTGGTCAGAGGGAAGGGTGGCTATGTGTTATTTTCACTGTCTTTTTGAAAGTTACAGTATGTGTTTTCACTTTTGTGCAGATAACTGGAAGTAAAGCAGCAAACAGTGCTTATCACATGCTAAAGTTACCTTCTCTTTATTTTTTGCATATCTGGAATTAACCCTTTAAAGACTGATATGAATCAGTACAGTCACTGTACATTTTATGATTTTTCTGTCATCTTAAAATTGTATGATCATAACATTATTTATTACCATAAAACAGCAAAATCTTCAATGTCTAAGAAAACTAGCTTAAAATGTTTAAATATAGTTCTAATTGGGTATTAATTACTTGATTAAGAAAAAATTAACATTATAGATACTCTGGCATTATGCTTCTATACCTTTAGGTCTTCCTTGCAATACTGGAACGTAATTCTTTTGTGTAGCTAACTATTAACCCGCTAAGTTCATTTTTTTAATACCATAAAAAGGTTATATGTACAGTTCCTATTTTAGCTTGCTTACAAAAGGAGCATTGTTTTTATTTAAAGTATTGTTACTAAATGCTTTGTAGAAACTTGGTTTTCTAAGCATACTTCTTCCATAGCCATCTTTTGTTGTTTGAACACAAGAGATGCTCTTCCTAGTTCTATGTATTTTGTTTCCTTATATGCAGTCTTTAAAGGATTACAACACTTAAAATTGAATGGACTTGTGTCAAGCTTTTGCATCATACATTTTTTGAAAGATTTTCTAAAAAGTCTACAACTTACATATGTAGTAGAATCAGCCATTGCTCTGCTCCTGGCATAGAGTCACCTGTTACGTGGATTAAATAGTTTTAAAATACATACTTTGAAGACCTTTGAGAATGCTTTAGTGTTTGGTTTGAAATAAAAGGAAATTTTAGCAAGGATTAAAGAAAAAAGCTATCAGCTATATGTTAAGAGAGACTCTTACTAACATGTTGTAAATATTACAATTCATGAAATGTTATTGTAAGTCTGTAACTTAATTTTTGCCCTTTTTTAGTTATACAGGTTGGTTTGGAAATCTGAGTTTTGGCATAAACAAGTAAAATGTGCCCATTTTATGATTTTTGTGCTTTTGTAATCCTAAAAATATTAATGTCTAGTTGTTCTATATTATAACCACATCTGCGCTCTATGCAAGCCCTTGGAACAGAACATACTCATCTTCATGTAGGACCTATGAAAATTGTCTATTTTTATCTATATATTTAAAGTTTTCTAAAAATGATAAAAGGTTATTACGAATTTTGTTGTACAAAATCTGTACAAAAATCTGTTTTTACATCATAATGCAAGAATTGGAAATTTTTCTATGGTAGCCTAGTTATTTGAGCCTGGTTTCAATGTGAGAACCACGTTTACTGTTATTGTATTTAATTTTCTTTTTCTTTTCAACAATCTCCTAATAAAACTGTCTGAAATCTCCCTGTGACTTTATTTACAGTTCGCCTTTATTAAATTTTGTGAAATGCATAGCATTGAAGGAATATTTACTTTCTAATGGGAGGCATCTAAAAACAACATAAGTCAGCTCTTTGCAATGCAGGGGGAACAATGCTCAATGATTTTATTTAACATGCAACTGCTTCTATCTCTAATATGAATTACTGTGGTGAAAAACATCATAAAAGCACACTCTGTAGTTATTGTTTAACAAGCAGATTTTCCATATTTTGTTTCTTGCCAGCTAAGCAAACTGCCCACATATACATGATTTATTTATGTACATTTCTAAGTTTATGAAGCTGTTATTTGTACCTTTTTTCTTTATATTCTTATATTCCCATGATTCTTATTTCACAAAGCTTTGTGCTGAATAATGTAAAGTAGACATGTTGATGGAACAAAATATATTATTCCCATATCTGTGAGTGGAGATTTGTAACTCTAACTCTGTTTTGCTTTTGATCTCTATCAATGGAAAAAATGCCTTTAGAAACTTTGAAATTAAAATATCCTTTAATAATATATAAACATTTTAATCAATCAAAAGTGCAGCATTTGAAGAAATATCAGGTTGCTATCCCTGTGAATATTCTAAACATTCCCAAGAGAATAGAAAATGAATTTTTCTGTCTAAAGGGATGATTTTAATGAATTCTTGAAACAATATATTAACAAATTATGATTTTTTCCTTAATAAAACCTAAAATGTTTATGCGACCATTACAAGCACATTTTTGTCATCTATCATCATATATTTATGTCAGTAGGACTAGCACTTGAAAATCATGCAGTCTCTGCATGTTAGTGAAACTCAGTGATAATTTAGGTTTGCCCCCATGTGTTTTCATTGAGACTAGCAAATTTATAATGTTCACAAAAGCTATTTATTACTAGAAGGGAGTATCTTATAAATATAAGTTACGTGGACTGCATTTTTAAAATATGGGAAACAGAGATATTAATAGAATCAAAAAGCTGTTGTAAATTGCCTTGTTAAAATATCTTTTCCTCATGTGCAGTATTGGTGGTAACATTTATCTTTACTATGTACAGCTGATACATAAAAGCCGAGCTGATCCTCATTTATTCATTTAAGCAGATTCACGAACAATGCCCCCATTCTACACGAAGCATTGCACTAAATGTTGTAATTCCTGAAGTTGAAAGCTTATAATTTTGTTGGAATAAGGAATCTTACTCTCAGGAAAATAAGATTCATTGAGCTTTTTTTTTTTTTTTTTCCTCTGTAGTGGAATTAGAACTGGTATTAAAAGGGTATGGCCATAGACACCTCCCCACTAGATGGTAACAGTCTAGTGACCCATTTTATACTTTAACCTTCTAAAGAACACAGATGATTTGGGAGTCAGGCAATTGAGTAGGAATTGAGAAAAAGGAAAGATATATTTTCCCCTATGTAAAATATTAGTTTTTTTATGTTTGCCAGTTTATTTCATCACATATTCTTACCAATGATCACAAATGTGATTGTAAGGTAAGTAGCCTGTTTAATTACAGACCAAAAGAAAGTTATCAACCAACAAAAGTTCCTGATATGTTTAGACTATTGAATACAGACATACAATATTTCACCTTTATCCTCCAGAATTGATGCATCTATAGAGTAAGTAATGGCTTAAAATGATTCAAAGAACATTTTAGAACATGCTCTGATTCAAAGAACACAGAGCATAAGTCCCTAAATGCCAACTGAGTGATTTAGGTAATGAGTGACATTTGTAGTGGTGTCATCATTTACATTTAGAGATTAATGAGCTGGAGATTTTGAGCTGAATAGTTTGATCAGTTAGGACTCTTCTGGTGGGATATAATAAAAACAAACTTCTGCAAGATTAAAGAGCAAAGAAAATTGTTATAAAGACAAGAGAGGTACACAGGGACCCCAAGACCACAATGCAGTCAGACCCCAGGGACCAGGGACCAAGGACCTTCTACCTTCACCTTTCTGCTCCTTTCAGTGAGTCTGCTTCTTTCTCATCTCATTGCAGACACATTTGCTTTTCTTGTTCATCACTTGATTCTTATTATTCAACAACTTAAGACTCAGCTCACAGAAATGAACAAATCCGTCTCTCTGTCTTGTCCTAAGTCAGATTCCCTGAGAGTTCTGATTGCCTCGGGTCAGAGCACATGCCAGTAAGGTACCTTGGCAGTACATTAGATGAGTTTAGGGAATACTAGAAATTATTGTGTCTAATTAAATTTGAATCTCTCGGGTTGAGGCTAGGGCATCAGGATTTTTAAGTTCTTCAGGTGATTCTAGCGAGTGGCTAAGTTTGCAGACCACTGTCTGGGAGGGTGGCAAATATCACATTATAGAAAACAATTAGTGCAGCTCCTGCTGTGGGGCAGAGAAATAGCTGGGGATGAGTAAGTGTGCAATGTGAGCTGCACACACACTACTAATGCCAACTACTAGTTCTGTAAAATCAATTGAATATTTTTGAAAAGTAATTTTAGCATTGTGAACTTAATTCTGAATTAAATATGAGTTTGCAATAGGAGGAATGCAATGATTTTTTTTCTAAGTAAAATTGTTGATAAATCTGACCCAGTGCCAACTGCTGCAGGGAGGTAAAAATCCATCTCAGTCATTATTGACACCTTGCCTATGAATTTCCTAAATATTTTCTTCAGTTCATCCCATTTGGGGAGAATCCTTGGTTTTGCACACCTAGGATTAGCATCTGAGAAGCAACTCTAAACCCTTCTCAGAGTCTACCGATTTGTGGGAGGAAAAGTTATGACATGGTCTGGGGTGATTCTCAATGTAGATAGGGTAAATATTTAAGAAAATTATATTCATGCGGGAATGTAAAGTTGGGTGAAAGGAGGTAATGTTTTTTACATCACTTACACTGGTAAAATCCCGGTAAACTCAAGTAAACTGTCGTAAATTCTGCAAACATAATGTAATGCCTACAGCAACCACTAAAAATGCTATATTAACATACACACTCAAAACTCTATAAATTAATCAAAATAGAATTCTATGCTGTAATAAGGTTAGCTTGCAGAGAAACGGTAAATATTTTTGGGAGTTGATCCAGAGTGTTAAGCTACTTTGCTAGGAATCTCCAGTTCTCTCCCAGGGATTTAGGTGGCTCTTTCATTAATGCTAATTGTGTGACAAACTTTGTCTGCTACATTAGGCAACAGATGACCACAAGTTGGTTGATGCATCTCCATCACTGTGCATTATCCCAATTTTCTATTTATTGTGTGCACTCACTTTTGATAATATATGTCTAACTTCTATTTTAAAAACTAAGTAAGGACTTAAATGTTAAATGTTAACTATTTGTTATTAAATGTTATTAATTTTAAAAAATCGTATTGTTGACTTCTACCATGAGTTTGGGAGATGGGATAAGACTGCCAATGCTTTTCTTACTAACACACGTTGTGGAATATATTTAAAAAAAAAGGCAGGGGAATCATGTTGAGTTGGATTTTTCAGCTAAATTCCTCTGGTTATCATGTGCCTAGGTTCATGTATGCTGAATGGTTTATGGATCCTTTAGTTAGTATATTTTGATGCTTTTTAATGTATGTTTTACCTGTGTTCCCCCTGCCCTCACCCCATATATAGCTACAGGAAGACAATAGGTACCTATCAGAGCCAAAATAATAGTGGTCAAGAGATCCTGGGAATGAAAGTCCCTGCAGTATAGAACAAACCAGGGCAAGACCAGAGAAAATATCAATGAACAAACGTGTACATGATCTAACAGCACAATGTATTTTTAGGGGAGAAAGATGCAGAGAAAATTATTTTTTCTCTCTCTCTGAGACAGGGTCTCATTCGGTCTCCTAGGCTGGAGTGCAGTGGTGCCATCACAACACACTGTGGCCTTGACTTCCCTAGCTCAGGTGATCTTCCCTCCTTAGCCTCCAGAATAGCTGGGACTACAGGCCCACATCATCATGCCCAGCTCATTTTTGTATTTTTGGTAGAGAAAGGGTTTCACTATGTTGCCCAGGCTGGTCTGGAACTTCTAGGCTCAAGAGATCTGCCTGCCTTAGCCTCCCAGAGCATTGGGATTACAAGTGTGAGTCGCTGCACTCAGCTGAAAATTCTTAATTGACTAACAGAAATGATAGTTCAACATTTAGATTTTATAGGTATTAAAAGCTACTGTGATTTGGAGGACAACCCCCATTCCTGGAATCTTTCACCCACAGTTGACTTGATGAAGCCAGATGCACTTCCATTTTGACGGGTCGCCTAGCATTCTTCATTTTTCTGCTGAGCATTCACTATTAGCCCTAGTTATCTTCTGTTCATTCTTGAATTTGTGCCACATGCCTCTACAGTAAATACTCCGGCATTATTACTTTGACAGACACTGGGAATGTTGAAGCCTTCCCCATAATGCAGAAAATGCTCTGACTATCTTTGTCAGACCAACAAACCAGACACATATTCCTACATTGAAAATTTAAGCATTAAATAGACACTGGTTCTCTGTGTCCATCAACCTTTAGGGGACAAATTGGGTTCTTTAAGTGGTCCCACTGAGATCTCTTCTCTAGACTTTAGATGAAAGATATTATTTGTCTTATTCTCTAGGTGTTTGAAGGTACTTGAACCCAAAGAGACCCTCAGCCCTCATCTACAACCATCTTACTACCTCTGATTCTTTATCTTACATCTTAAACTTGTTTTAAAATCTGGAGGGGGTGGAAAATAAAGGACACAATTATTAGTTTCTAAATATTATTTGCAAATACTGATGATGATCTTGCATCTTGCCTTGAGATGTGGTATCAATTTTATTTATTCATTTAAATTTTTATTAATGTTTTGAAGTCATTCTATATTATAGGCAGTTATAAGAAATAACACAGTGACATCCCATGAACTCTTCACTCATTATCCCTCCAAGTGAAACTTACGTAAATATAATACAGTATCACAATTGGGAAAATCACATTGATATCATCTACCAACAAGA